ATATATATATAATTAAATTAGTAGAAGTTCCTGGGATTAAAGACCGGAGAGATAACATTAATTTGTGTGTTGCTCATATGAATACCAGCCTTATTTTTCTTAAAGTCAATGAGCATTGAGTTTGCGTTTACGTAAATGTTTGAAACAAAAAGCGGTCAATTAGTTGTCTGGAAAGTTTGGTTTTAAGAGAACAAAAGATAATACCTGTGAAAATATTTCAGACAATTAGACTTAGGATTAAAACGGATAACAAAAGCGGTTCTTTAACCTGATTACTTTTGAACGGTATATTGGCTTTTCAAATTCTTCCTTTTCCCAGTGTTATTTGAAATAAGAAGCAAAATATTTTTACTATATAACACTTATGACTTTTATAGTTCTATTCTTTCTCTCCAACTTTTGTTTGTCCTTTTATTTTATCGTCTGATTTGCAAAAATTGTTAATGAATAATAATATAAATGAAAAATAAACGAATGAATTTATCTAAAAAAAACAAAACAAATATTAGAAAATTGTTTGTAAAAATGTTATTGTTTCGATTCACTGAAGATCATTGCTTTTAGCCGGTTTCATAAAAATAGCTTCAGGGTTAGAACTTGGGCCAAGAAATGAGAGGTGCTGGATTTATTTCAACGTAGATTTGACTTAAACAAAGCTAATTCAGATGTAAGATATTTAATCTAGTCTCTCATACCGAAGGAGTGACTATCCCAAAATAATGCAGCTAGTCTGAATAGTCAGATACAATGTAAATAAATCAATGGATGAAATGTTTGCTTAAAAGTCTTTCGATGAAATTACAGGGTTTTTTTTGGGGGGGTGGGGGGTAATCATTTTGCTCCAAGCAAAGAGGGGATGCCACTAGTACACAGCGAGTGAAAGTGAGATAAATTTATAAAAAAAATAAAAGAAAATAGAATATAGTGATTGACGTTGCATTTAAATTTTTGAAGATTGTATTTATCAGGGAAGCAATTCAACGAGCTAATTGGGGTTCGTTCCGTAACTTTCTTCGTGACGTCCATTGGAATGAAGTTCTTAAGAATCCTGTTCAAAAACCGCGCCTTTGAGGTCTCCTATTCGGTAAAAGCAGGGATCGAAATTTTCATTCCATCACGGGAATACCAAGTGAAACCACGTTCATCTCTGTGGTTCTCACCAACATGTTCGGCCGCTATAGCCCACAGGAATCACTTCTTCCGGCTGTACAAGAGCGATATGCCTCTTTGTTTCTGCTCGTAATGAGTGCAATCGTGTCCGCAAAGAAGCAAAGTTACTGTTTGCTGCTAAAATGAAACAAAGTATATCATCCCAGAAGTTTAGTTCTAGAGATTATTGGTGGCTCTGCAAGAGCGTGCTGAACAACAGAAAATCCTTGATCCCTCCTCTAGATGCTTGACAAGCTTTCGCATGCTGGACTTTCACGCAAAATTCCGGGCTATGTTATTACAGATCGATCGTTTGATTTAATCTAATCGTTCCTATGAAATCGTGAAATGAAGGTCGTTTTCAACGATCTCAATTACAGATCCTTTCACACAAACGCGGGTTTCCTGGGGCCTAGACTCTTTCTGATCTTCATCAGAGATCTTCCTGATGTCATCAGTTCCCAAGAAGATATTGATGCAGATGACACTAGCATTAACTCCTGTCTCAATAGCAAATCCACAAGAGCTGATTAAGTAAATCCAGCTGACGTCCTTGAAAATGACTTCCAATCGGTGGTTAACTGGAGTAGGAAATGCCTTGTAAATTTTAAAACTTAGAAAACAAAACTGCTCTCATTTAACCACTATAGAGAAACTTTTCTGCCTGCCATCAGCATGGATGATTGTGACACTATTTGGCTTGCTAAAAAAAAGAAAGAAGAAAAAAAGGCGAGAATTTAATTTAGGTAATAAGAAGCCATCACGAAAAGGACACTAAGCGGTGTTATTTTTCTGACAGGGAAAAGTGGTAAGATTTTTATTTTACATTGTCGAGAAAGGAAGATACTGGATTTAATCTGATTTATGTTACGGGCCGGAGAATGAGGTATGGCCAATCTGCCCATGGCAATGGTGGAAATTCCAGGTTGGTCGGATGACCTGCGAGACAGAATTCTAAATAGATGAAAAATAATTAAGCACGCACTGACCGAAGAAACAAAATGACGATGAACCTCCCACAGGATGCTAAGAGATAAAAATTAATTAGGTCAAGCTTGACCGAAACCAAAATATCCGTGGAACCACCTCCATGTCATTTGGAAAAAGCACCTGTTTATTGTCGGGACTAGATATGATAAGAAATTTATTTTATCGGGACGAAAAGTTGGCTGTGTTTCGCCAGATGACCACCCACTTGATAATTGGCGAAAATCTCGTTGACGAATTCCATATGAAATTCGATTGCGATTAAGGGACCACACAACGAAAGAAAAAGAAAAAAAAAAGGAGATAATTTTTTTTTTCTTTGAGCAAGATTTTTTTTAACCGAGGCTAGTCTGGCCACACCCACGCTGCTGAGCGCCAATTGGCTGAATGGCAGCATGAGCGTTAGGCGGAGGTAATCATGTGAAGTAGGAAGGGAGGCCTGTTGGCACCATTGAGGGGATAGGTGTGAGATGCCACTGTGAGAGATAGGGGAAACCCGTTGACACCCTCTGAGGGCATGATGAGATACCACTATGAGAACAGAAGAAAGTGGGAGGACGAGAAGACTTCCAAAAATGGAAAATAATAAAATTTTCCTGACCGAAAACAAATAAGTGGATTGTGGGGTTGGAATTATCAAGGAACCTCAAACCCCGACAAGCCCACCCCGGTTTTGGTCGGCGTCCATATAAGCAAAGTCGCAGCGAGCGAAAATCAGTTCCAGTTCAGTTCCAGTTGGAGTTGGCAATTAGCAGAGACAGTTGCAGAATTAATAGCCTCGCAGATAGCTGACTTGAAAGATTCCACGCAAACCACGAACTCATCTTCTAATCAAGAACAATTTATTTTTGAAGAACGACTTAGACTCATACCACCAAAACAAGTTTTACGAATATCGCCTGAAGACACACCAAGAACCAGTTTCTTAAAAGAACAAGCAACTTAAGATGTTAAGACTCGCCTAACAAAAACAAAGTGTCACGAATCCATATAGCGGGTTGGGAAGAAGACGTAGTCCTATATTTAGCAACCAGATATAAAATATTGTTATCCTTTTTTAACACATTTGAACTTTTCGAGTTATTATTTTATTTTCTTTTACATATACTTGTGCGATGTCACCCTTATTCGAACTTATGCGACTGATTGATTTCGTCTGCCTAAGATCAATCCACAACGTGGGTAGGTTAGACTGGAAATCAAAGCAGTTACTTCATTAACCAGACGTTGGAGGCGAGCTGGGAACGACGAGGCTGATACCGAATCTAACCAGATTCCCATCCGAATCACATTTGGTGCCGCGACCAATACCAAGCCAGTTGGTCGTCACAGGACAGGATAGCACGACTGACGCAGACAGGCGGACGTCACATTTGGCGCAGCGACGACATGATACTAGACTCTTGGAGGGCAACACACTGCACCTTCTCGGCCTCATGTTTTTGACTGATTCGAAGTGTAACGACTATATTTAATCAATAGCTACATCTGCTGCAAGGAAAGTCGGGTCACTGTGCCGTACCAGGAGGTTTTTTCGTCAGACTCCATCTTGCACATTTACAAATCTATCACTCGTCCGGGCATTGAATACTGCTGTCATATCTGGTTTGCTGCTCCTGCTATTCATCTCGAGGTTCTTGACAAAATCCAAAGAAGGATCTGCAATGTAATCGTTCCTGACTTGGCATCTCACTTTCTCACCGACATAACGTGGCTTCCCTCGGCCTTTTCTACAAATATGTTTAAATCAACTGCTCTAACGAGCTTTTTTTTCCATGGTGCCTGACTGCATGAATTTAAGCGTGCCATCGATTGGAATCTAGGTCCCACCCTTTTACGTTTGACAAAGTTAAATGCAACCTCCACTTCTACTCCAACATTTTTCTTTTCTCGCACTTCCCGCCTGTGGAATTTCCTTCCTTTTACTTGCTTCCTGCGGGCATTTTCAACGAAATAAATAAAAACTTTCTCCAAGGGTGAAATCCTTGTTGGCTTACATTGTAAATACTTTCACACCTAAAGAAATGGACGTCAAGAAACAAAAAGTTAGATTGACATTTGATGATTGGGTTTTGTCCAATCAGATAATTTGGAATATAGAATAAAGGGTTTTAAAAGCCTTTATTCTATATTAAACACCATCACTTGATAAGACACTAGAAGTGTTGAAACAAAATGGCTATATTTATGTTATAATTTTCGAATTTTCATAATATATATATATATATATATATATATATATATATATATATCCTTTGTTTTACATTTGTACATTCAGATTAGCCAATAATGATCACTCTCCTCACCACATCCACACTTGTCATCCGAATTTCATAATTATTTCTTAAAATGGAATGTAAGTCGGAAATGTATTCAGCTATTTGAATATATATATCTCAAAAACTGCTGGTATAACTTCGTTGTATCTGTCTATATTTCTGGGATGAGGTATTATTTACATTATTTCCCTCTGAAAGTATACTTATAATTAAAGATATGTATACTTCAAGGAAAAGTTTTTGTGACTTTCTTTAAAAAGGTGCCATTAAAATGTGTATGTTTCAAGGAAAGATTTTTCTAATAAAAACATTTTACATGTGACATTCTTTAAAAAGGTATAATTAAAAATGTATATGCTTCAAGATAACATTTTTCTATGAGAAAAAATTTAACATGTAACTTTCTTTAAAAAGGTGCCATTAAAAATGTATATATTTCAAGGATACCTTTTATCTATGAGCAAAATTTAACGTGTGACGTTCTTTAAGAAGGTTCTATTACAATGTGTATCTTTCAAGGAAACCTTTTTCTATGAAAAAAATTTAATATGTCACTTTCTTTAAAAAGATGCCATTAAAATGTGTATGCTTCAAGGAAACCCTTTTGTATGTGAAAAATCTAACTACTTATTTTTCTTTTCTATTTCTAGTGTTCGCAACTTAGATAGAAGTAGAGAGGACGAACGTCGAACGAAAATGGACGGCAGCCAACACCCGAGCTTCGAGGATTATTTTGCCTGTCAATCTGTTTATAATATTTTAGGGAATGAGTCCGATTTGAAACTATCTGACTTTGGGTTTGAAATGGGCGACTGCGTGGTCGAAAAGACAGCCATGCTAAACGTTGGCGAAAAGATCCACGCCTATTCAACTCCAGTTATCTTCGCCATGGGCATTTTAGGCAATTCTATATCGCTGAAAATCTTTCTCTCCAAAAACTTCCGGCGTCAAGCGGGTGGAGTCTACTTAGCCTCCCTGTCCTGTGCTGACATCTTCGCATTGGTTTTTTTCGTCATGACTCAGTGGCTGAAACGGGTGTGGCCGATATTTACGGACAGTCGCGTCACTCCAGTTGTGGACACCGATGGTCTATGTCAAGTTATCTTATACCTCTCCTATACATCTCGTTTTCTTTCGTCATGGTTAGTGGTTACATTCACTGTCGAACGTTATATTGGGGTGTGCCACCCTTTTAAAAGATTAGAATGGTGTACTACTAAGACTGCCCGAAGGGGTATCGTAGTGCTCACCCTTATTTCTCTCGTTTTTAACTCATTTAAGCCAGCTCTGAGTGGAGTTTACATGCTGGACGGAGAGCTGACTAAATGTACCGGTAACCCTGACTACCATTATATATCTTTCATACTGGACAGCGTTTACGCCGTGTCTATAACTTTAGTGCCTTTTGTTGTCATTCTCCTCTTAAACGTGATGATCATCCGGGCTTTGGTGAAATTAAAAAGGCGGCAAAAGACAAATCAAGTGAAAGCAAAAGAAGCTGGCGGTCGAACGGATTTCACCCTCCTCTTACTGATGATCTCTTTCTGTTTCATTGCTCTTAAAGTGCCCTTCTTCGTCACTTGGTGTCGCCAATTCCTCTACTCTCTGCATCTTCAGCGCGACACTTCCGGCAATATAGACAACATCAACAGAATTGAAATCATCAAAGGAATACTTAATATCACTCGAACTGTTTTCTACATGAACTACGCCACTAATTTCTTCCTGTACAGTTTTGTCGGGTCTTCTTTTCGCCTTGAGCTGAAACGGCTCGTGTGTTGCCAGTGTCGTGAGAACCGATCATACTCATGGACACCACAGAGGACATGCATGCAGTCTGACCTGAGCCACGGCGAGACGTTCAACAGGAATACAGCACAGAGAAATCAAACAGTTGACGATGTGTGAACAAATTGTTCCACTCTTTGTATTGTACTATTTATTTTATGTGTGTCATATGCCTTGCTGGTATCGTGAGTGTAATCAGTGACAGGTCCTTGTTCATGGTGGCAAGGCTCGTTGTCCTGGTTTTAAATCAAAGAATTATTTTCCCGGTTTTACTTTCAGCCCATAATAGTCATTCGAAAACCATTTTGATTGTAAGAGAAATACTGCAAAGAAGTCACTTAAAATCAGCCTTGTGCGGCGCCATTTTAAATACCACCGTTTTCGCCATTAATTTTTTTCTTTTTTGATAATGTCGTCTGCATTTAATGGTTCACTGCTGATAATACATGCGTTCGATACTTGAACTGATGGAGAAATATAAAACGATTTTAAGAATTCATTTCAAAGAATGTGATAGTGATTGGTCATGTTTTAATCCTGTAAAGTGTTAAATATTCATAGATCTTGGAAGTAGTGAGTTGGTAATTTCGGCAGATATAAAATACGCTTATATTTTCCCAATGGAAATTCTTCGCGTTCTATATATTGTGTCTTCTATACCTAATCACATCTAATTACAATGCTCTGAAGCGATTAATAAAAATGATGGAAATGTTCATTTGAAGATTGAGTTGAAATATGAAACAAAAATAAAAGTTTTTTGGATTTACGGGAGAAACAGATAAGTTAGAAAAAACTTGATTTGCCACAAATTTGAGTGGCTTGTGAAGATTAGTTCAATAAATGAACTTTTCGGAAGTACAGCAGAAAAAGTGACGAGAAGTCGATATTGTATTATGCTATTTTAAATACTGCCATCTTTAACATTTTTTCTTCGGAGGAAATGTTGTCTGCATTTGATAGTTTTATGTTCTTTTGGGTGATACACATTTAATAAATAAAAGTATGTCTCCCTTTGTCTGAAAATACGTCAACTTTCGCGAAGTAAATAGGAAAGCGGGAGATGATATTTATAGCAGATTACCAACGATTCGTGTAACTTACTTGATAACTTGCCACAGTTCCGTTTTAGACTAAAGACGTTGGACTCGTGATAAAAACAAAAATAACGAATGAACATTGTGTTGCTCATATCCTCGTGTTTTTTTGTTTTGTTTTTGTGTTTGTTTTTTCCCCAGGATATATGGGTAATTTTTAATAAACATTGCTTCAGGATACGCAGAATGTCGGCCTTATGCGCAGTGATATTGCAGTTTTACTAGATGAACCATGCTTATTGATTATTTTAATTTTTACATGAAGCCTTGTCAGAAAATATTTATCATTAACTGTTATTATGTGTATTTCAGTTGCTTTTCGTGGCAAATCCTCAGACTGTATCTTTATAATTGAATAGTTTTGTAGTCATATCTTTCATTTTTATTCGTTAATTCAATGCTAAACATTATTCATTTTAACTACTATTTCTTTGATCTTAATTTACGTTACTTCTTATTGCAATTACTTAATCATTCGGTTCAACTGTAATAGTATAAATAGTAAATATTTTATTACATGAACCATCGTCAGCCATAAGTGATGAGTATTTCTTTAGTCATAATTTATTTCCAACAGCAGTTATATTAGTAGTGATATTATCGTATTTTATTAGACTAAGCATTGTCAACCAGTATTCATTTTGAATAAAATTAGTTCATCTTAATTTCACTTGCTTTTTTTCAAATAACAGTATAATGCGGAATTTTTATTAGACGAAAGACTATTAGCTATTATTTATTTTGACTAGTATTTCTTTCATCTGAATTTACGTTGCTTTTCATCGCAACTACACAACAATTAAAAATATATTAGTTTTAATAGGAATATATTATTGAATATTTTTATTAGACGAACTATAGTCAATCATCAGGAATTTTTTATTTGTATTTATTTTTGGAAAAATTCGTTTCCTATTGATTGCAACTTCTCAGAAAGTCTGTCTATAATATCATTGGTAATAATATTATTTGATCTGCGTTTTTAGCCATTATTATTTCTTGTATACTATTTCTTTGATTTTAATGTTACCTTCTTTTGATTGCAAATACTCAAATTGATGGTCTAAAATATCTTATTGAAATATTTTCTTGGTCGTAATTTTTGAAACCATTCTTATTCATGGAATATTAATACTGCAATCTTATATTCCTTTGCTTTTTATCTATCTGTTGCATTCATAATAGCATCGTAAAGTTTAAATTCAATGATATATTGTTAATAATTATTTGTTTTTGGAATTTCATTTTTAATTTAGGTCTCAGTGATTGCAAGGGAAAGCAAGTAAATATAGTATGAAATGAACACTCGTCTAACCGAATAAGGGTTTACAATACGCCGTTTCATAGAACTCGAAGATAATATTAATTATAATGCTACCAGATAAGAAGCATTTCAAATTGAAATGAAAGAAATTGTTGTCAGTAATGGCTGACAAGCCTTTGTCTTATAAGTAAAGTTCCAGATAAAATTACTACTAGTAAAGCAAATCAAATTAGGATGAAAGCAATAGTAGAGAGATATTAATAATGGTTTACAAAGCACATTATTTACATTGTTCGGACTATTGTCCTCACCTTTGTCGCCATATTTATTACTAAGCTTCATCTAATAAAAACATCCAAGTTAATACTATTAATAGTAGAAAAAAAAAGCATTGAAATTAAGTTGAAATAAATATTAGTCAAAAATGAATAATGATTGACAATCTCATAAAATCTTTATCCTAATATTGCTGCTAATATTGTTGCATTAGAAAACTAATGCCTGGGTAGGCGCGATGAAAAACTAGTGAAATTAATTTGGAAAAAACAAAAAACAGTCAACAATGATTACAGTAAAAAAAAAACATTTAGGACAGTTTCGATTTGAAACAATGAAATATCAAATTATTAGTGATACAAAAATATTCCATAGATTGGTTTTGAATTGTCAGATTAACTACGATAAAATATTCACGCATAAAAGAATTAGAACTGAAAAAATAATATATCCTCTTGCTCACTTTCAATGTTATCCGAGTTGACTTAAATATATATATTTATATATATATATATATATATATATATATATATTAGGATATTACAACAAAAAGATGGCAAAATCGCTATATAAAAGCAGTCGTGTTTCGATGTGTATCAATGCATCTTATCAGGTGATTGTAAATTACTGGCGAGTGAACGATTTATTTAGATCTAAAAGCAAAATACAACCTCTTTTTACGAAAAAAGAATATGCGTATAAGGTTTGTGGGTTTTACTCTGATCAACCAATCAAATATGACCTACGTCAAATTTAAGCTAAGCGAAAAAGCAAAAATTAAAAAATTATTTTTTTATAAATTTAGATTGTCAGCTAACGGCAGACTAGACGTAGACTAGAGCGGATGAAAATTGTTACATAAATTATGCCAACTAGACAATTCCGTTTCCTAAGAAATAAAAATTCGTTCTCATATTATCTATCTATCTATCTTCTATCTCTCCTCTCTCTCTCCCTCTCTCTCTCTCTCTCTATATATATATATATATATATATATATATATATATATATATATTAAGGAATATCAAAGACGTGTTTGATATTCCTCAATAATATATATAATAATAATAATATATATATATATATATATATATATATATATATTAAGGAATATTAAAGATATATATATATATATATATATATATATATATAATCTTTTCATCTTTAGCCCTCAATGCGTTCTAAGAATCCTACCTGTCGTAATAAAATTGGTTGTATATTGCTCTATTGTTGCGAAGTAAAAATGCGAATGGTGTTTTCTCCATTCAACCTCGCTATAAATGCTAGAATCCTGCTTAATTTCGCATATAAAATGTACTTTTAATATACCTGCATTATAACCGTTTCTTTTTCTTTGGAGAACCAAGCCTCGGGATAGATTACAATTACAGTACATTAACAAAGATCTAGTCCAATATCAATAGCATGCATGATCTTCAAAAGTTTCTAGTTAACAATTAATCAAAGCTTTTGTAGGATGTCAAGTCGTATTAGGAATTGCGTCTAGGACTTAAACGGAAATGACGACACAGCTTTACGCTATCTTCTGTCTACTGTAATGATATGCTAATCACACGAGTAAAGGCAAGATGACTGGCGATAAGGAAAATTGAGTTCATGACCTTTGATCATGTAAGAAACTGAAACCCGCAATTGATTTCAAAATATCAATATGAACCATGGATTTAATTTCAGATAAAGAGCTCACATTAATCATGTTCAATGTTATAAAATTGATTTGCTTATCTATCCTATCATCAAATGTAGCGAAAAAGGAATTTTCTCTCAGAATTGAAGAATAAATAACCAATGCCTGGACCCGAAGAAGAAGCATAAACATCTGTTGAAGCATCATCACTTGAATACTATGGTATAGTGTATATGTGCAAGTGAAAGCGTTTCGTCCATCATAGCTTCTTTATTGACATCACAATTTGCATGCAATACTTCCTCCTGTACTGTTTCTTGTCTTTTATGCAATTCTCGAGCCGGCCTCATAGTCATGTCCGTCATAGGCATGCAGATAATTAGTTCGTGGTCGTCGGAACCTCATACGCCGAACTCGACGGGAGAGTACTTCCTTTATATATATATATATATATATATATATATATACACACACACATTGCAGTCAATACACAGAGACAACAGGCTGTATCATGGTAGACGCAATCGTCATAACACGAGTGTTGGATTTTTTTTCCTCTACTATTTATATATATGGGTCAGTGGTGCATTATGGGTAGTCTATTCCGGCTGTTATTTTGGCGGGAGAAAAAAAACACTTGCGACCTGACGACTGCGTTTAGCATGAAACAGCCTGTCGCCTCTAAGTGTTAACTTCAATGTTCATTTTATATTTACATACGCTCTATCTTTGATATTGAGCACTTTATACCATAAATATAGCACACTTTAAGACTATATTTCTTCATAGATAGATATGTGTATATGTCTGTGTGTGCGCGTGCGTGTTGCGTGCG